ATGGGCTAAAGCAATCTCCAAGAAGATGGAACCATCGGTTCAACAGCTTCATGAAGGATCAATTGTTTGATCGCTGCAGCAAAGACCTATGCGTCTACATGAGAGATGTTAACACCGATAAAGCTATCTACTTACTCCTATACGTAGATGACATGCTAATAGCGTCTGGAAACAAAAGAGTGATCAAAGACCTAAAGGAAAAACTGAGTGGGGAATTTGAAATGAAGGACATGGGAAAAGCTTCAAGAATTCTTGGGATGGACATCACCCGAGATCGAGAAAAAGGAACACTAGTCCTATCTCAAAGTAAGTACATTGAAAAGGTCCTAAAGACATTTGGAATGCAGGATGCAAAACCCGTCATTACGCCTACTGCATCACATTTCAAGCTGAGAAGCCTAACAGAAGATGAGTGGAAGGTAGAAGCATCACAGATGGAAAGAATTCCCTATGCGAGTGCAGTGGGAAGCCTAATGTATGCTATGGTTGGCTCTAGACCTGACCTAGGATTTGCAGTGGGATATGTTTGTCGATTTATGAGTAAACCGGGAATGGAACATTGGAAAGCTGTTCAGTGGGTCTTAAGGTACTTAGCAGGAGCAGTGGATTCAAACTTAACGTTCAAGAAGAATTCTACACTCCTAGTGGAAGGATACTCAGATTCGGATTATGCGACAGATATGGATAGGAGACGATCAGTGACAGGTTATGCATTTAAATTTGGTGGCAACACAGTATCATGGAAATCATGTTTGCAATCAGTAGTAGCCCTATCAACTACAGAAGCAGAGTACATGGCAATGAACGAAGCAGCAAAGGAAGCAATGTGGTTAAAGGAAATTTGTTCAGAATTGGGTTTCAAACAACAAAGTATAAAACTCTACTGTGATTCACAAAGCGCTCTAGCCCTAGCAAGAAATCCAGTCAACCACGAGAAGACTAAGCATATAGCTACCAAATTCAATTTTATACGGGACCTAGTGGAGGCAGGTGACATTAACCTAAACAAGATTCATACTAATGTTAACCCTGCAGATTTTTTGACAAAGACGGTACCTGGTCAGAAGTTCCAGCTTTGCTGTGAGCTTTTGAACATTCACTGATAACGCAGAGGAAGCTCCAGGTGATTCAAGTTGACAGACTCCATCCATGCGAAAACAAACAACCAAACAGACGGGGTTAGTGTTTCGGTAGAAAAGCAAGTGTCAACAGGGAATGGTGGTAGAAATAACTCACCTGGAGCATAATATGAATCGGGTATGATACTCGGTTCAGGTGGAGTCATGTGTACCATTCGACGTAGTGATTGTCTAGTAAGGAGAACAAGACAACTGATGGTTAATAAGCAAGCCCGAGAAACATCTGAGAAAGAAAGGGTTTTTTATGTGTTCAGGAGCTTACCACAGTATCAACGACGCTGTGGCAGTTGAATTGAGAAGTAGATGTCAAGTCAGAAGCAACCGGCGACTCGTCATAAGGAGCATAGGTGACGCAGGTGAAGCCGTTTCCTGAGACATCAAAACTGGGTCAGATCTACAGAAGACCTAGCGTATGTAGGATGAAGAGAAAGGCCCTCACTTGACTCACAGAAGAGGTGGAGTGGGGTGCTAAAGCTCGGACTCCGAAAAGACAGAGTGTGTCGAAGATCAGTCACAATGGCAGATGGCGACGAGAACCGTCTACAAAGACATGCAATGGAGTCAAACACGAAGTCAGCAAAAACAGTTACAAGATTCGCTTAATACCCTTAACAGATGATCCTAACTTCTTAAGAACAGAAGGAGTTAGATGTACCTGAGGATAGTGAAAGAGAAAGGTGACAGGGTCACGGTAGACGCAGCTGACTATCGCTCACGGAGGAGAGAAGACACAACGCCATCGAGGTGGAGAAGTCGAGGCTTTCATTTACGGAGCGACGGTTGTGAGATGAGACAACCAGAGATCTATCTCGTTGGAACCGAATCCATGCCGGTGGAGAAGGTTCGCGGAGACAGAGAGAAGGGGAGGAAGAGAGAGAGTCAAAATGGAAAGGAGACTTTCGATATTCCCAAAGACAAAAGGACAAAGAGACTAGAAATGGGTCTGTCGGCAGAAGGAGTAGGAATAAGGCAAATGGGCTTTATTAAAACGGTGGAGATTTGTGAATGTGTTTTAACTAAAGCCCATACTCGTCATGGGCCTTTTACACAAGGTGGTTTGGTGCTGGATCAGTATCAGCCCTAAAGCCCACCTAAGTGTACCTCGCCCTACAATCATATATAACACAAGTTAGTACGTATGATTATACGACGGCAAGGAAAAAGGAAACATCAGGGTTTACAGCAACAGGGGTCAGATCAGGATATTGAGCAAGAGACAACAATACAAGATACATAGCTTAGGCTTAAGTCTATTTATCTAAGGGCTTTGTTGTGTTTCTCTAGCTTGGAGTATTTGATTCATTGTAAACAATCTAGCTCACTATTTGGTGGTGCTAGTGTCTCTTTGATCTAGTGAAGTTTGGGAGCAGGAGTTCTCCCACGAGACGTACCGGTTTGAGGCCGGGAACTCGTTAAATTGACTGTGCATTTACTTTCAGTTTATAGCTAGGTCAAAGTATCTTGGTACCTAAGTAACCATAACCTAATAATCTCCAACAACATTCATTAGTGTTTTGAAATCACAGTTGACATAAACTTTGTTAAAATATTCTGCAAATATAAAGAAGTTCCACTAGATGGACTCATGGACGTATACCAAAAGTTTAAGCTATAAGTTAAACAAAACTTTTGAATTGAACTTTATGATAGTTAGGTGTCACAATGTGTTACATTTTTACTTTTAATCGTCAAAAAGGGTTTGGAGGATCTAAAGGAGCACTTCAAGAGCGCCAAGTTCCCGTGCGAGGCTGAGCTTTACCTTCCGGTAGTTTTTTCGCCTCCACGAGACGGGAAGCAGCTAACGGAACCTGTCTCTGTCAACATCAACCGTTGCACCGGACTCAATAATAGTAGTCAAGATCACTCTGTGAGTGGATCAAGTTGCGGTAGTGACCATTATAACAGTCAGGAAGATCAATTTTCGGGCAGTAGCATAGACGGTGACCGGAGTCTCGCGGTGGTAGGAGAGACGTCTTTCTAGAAATTGTCTGTAATGTAAGCCATAAAATATAAGAAGTGTAAGTAGACATCATTTTGTTATGATTTTGTACTGTAATGTTGTCTCAATCAAATTTTATTTGGTTAATCATCACGTTTCAGTTTATTATCATCAACAGTTCTAAAAAGTGGCCAGCTTGGGTCAATGCGCTAAGTAAAAATGAATTTTAACGTGCTTCAGAAAAATTATTTAAGTTGTGATATAGATAGAGAAAGAGTATTCTGCCTGCATAGTGGTATAGTGTCTTTGATCATTTCTCTCTTGGATAGTGTGATGTTGGATATAACACATGACTAGTTTGTGTTACTTTAAGAACATTTTGCTAATTTCTACGTACTTATTCACATAAATGAACTCTTGTCATTTGACCTAATAACATATTTTTGTTTTCTTTTTTTTTGTCAAAAAAAGACCTAATAACATATTTTAAAAATCCACTCTGTATTTTCTCTCGTTGCAATTGAGAATAGGTCGATTACATAATCCATTTGAAGTTGTTTATCGTATAAAAAAATCATTATTATTTATCTAACTTATGTTAAACTTCATATTTATCCGTTTTGTATCACTTTAAACAAATGATAAGTAAATTAGTAAATATTTCGAAATATATTTCCTTTTAATGGTAAAAGTAGATTGGGTCTAGAACTAAGTTGACCTAGGGTAAGGAAGTTCTTTTTCAGGCAAAAATCTAATCGTTGTTGTTCTAGTGTTTATAGCTGTCTTATTCAGGGACCTGCTGAAAGGGACAATAGAGGACTCCGTGCTAGCGATGATCACATCTTGTATATCCCTCTGATTGACGGGGTTTCGACACGTGATGATATCTTCACCTTTCGTATTGTGCCTGACTAAGTTGATAGTGATCGTTGACTACAAAAAAGGAAAAGAATTATGAAAAATGAAATCCAGTTATAATTGGATAGCTGATTTATTTCTTGCTATTTCATAGCATTTTATTTAATATATTTGAATTTAATTTATATTTATGAAATTATTAGATATATTTAATGTATACTAAATTCATATGATAGATTATATATGTGTTTTATATGTGATTTGATAAAAATTAATATTTAAATGAAAAATAAATTTAAAATGAAATTTATTTAGGAGAAAATAAATGATAACAAATTTATATAAAAACGAAATTCATTTTAATAGACAATATAGTAATTATTAATTTATGATTAATGAAATCAAAATTTAGCTTAGAATTTTCTAAATATTGTTATATTATTATCTTCTTAAATATGTTATGTTTTATATCAACTTTGAGATAAAAATAATAATTTATCATATTTATTAATTTATTGAATATTAATTTATAGATTTTTAGGAAATTTTAGTTCATAAATCCATTTGAGTGGATTTCGTAGTTACAAATAAAATTGATTACAAATCAAAGTACGTGTTTTGTATGTAATGAATTTTCACTTAACACTAGGGAAACACAAAAAACAAGACAAGTGACTTCATTTTGGATCTGTTTCCTTTCTCAAAATAAAACAACTCTAATAAAATGCGGCCCAAAAATACAGCGATCCAAGTTAACGATGGCCGTCTAAGAATATAGGCCGCAATCAAAATAATCTGGCCCATTAATAAAATTCCCCTAATTTGAATCTCTCATGTCTCTCTGTGTCTATAAAAGAAGAAAGACCCTCTAAACCCTAATTCATTCAAACCACTCACTAGCCGTCGGCATTGTATCATCTTATTCCACTTTCTTTTTGTTTGAAATGAATTCATATTTGATCTCGATTGCTTCATAATGGTGAACTCTCTTAGATATATAAAAGTGAGAGATGTTCAAGTTTCCGGAGCAAAGATTAATCTGGCCAGAATTTAAACAGCTCTGTGTTTATCTCTTTAATGTTCACAGTGTTACCTGTCTTCTGGTATATCTACATATATTTGTTTTGTTTCGGCAGTGATGATTAAAATTAACAGCTTTACGCCAGTTCTGCTTCAGAAAATTCTTGATAGAAGAAGCTGTATATAATCTGAGCCTCTTTTTTTCTTAATTTTATTCTTGATTAAATTTTATAAATGTTGCCGATGAGGAAATCCAATATTGTGAGGTGCAGTGGAGCTGAGACCCTGTTTTCAGGGAGAACCCCTTGGCAGAAACTGCAATTTCTATGAAGCTTATGGATTAACTGAGGCTTTGTGTCTGATTAACACACCTTTATAAGTTTAAAATAAATCGCTTACATGGGATATTAGAAGTTGAATTTTTATCAAATAAACATGATTTTCTTTATTACCAACTAATCCGTTAAAGACTCAACTAGCCAAATTAATAACGCAGCAAGAAAAAAAAACTTTCCAGGAAGAGATGTTAGAAGAAAGACTAAGCAGGCGTTTAAAACTTAAAAGTTCAGAGCAAACCCTTTCTCAAAAGAAACAAAACTTAAAAGTTCAGAGATAGTTTTCAAATTCAAACTAGATCTTTCTTGCCAGTCAAGGATCATAGAGAGTCAGATACTTATTATACATATACCTCGGACTATATTCTTGGATCAAGAATGACAAGTCAATAATTTCCGGGAAATTGATGTATTTCCTGGTAAAATTTGGTCAGAGGAAGTTCAAAAATTGATGGATTATTTAGCGTGAAAATCATAAATGTCTTCAAAAAGACAACTTGAAAAGATGATACATCAGAGTCATAATCTTAAATAATGTTTAATCGGTGGATAAGTAGGGAGGCCAAGCCAGCCGCACGCAACTGAAACCCCTTGTAACAGTCGTTCCATTTTGTATCTCTGCTTCATTTAACCTCTTTTCTTTTACCGCAGAGACATGTATATTTGTAATCGCATTTACGTTATTAAATTTTGTAATAAGTGGAATGGTCATCTAATTAGATTTTTTTACATCAAACGGCTATTCTATTATTCAAACTTGGCTACAGTAGAATAATCAAATAAGTAAAATTTTCTATGAACAGTTTTACATTCTTAGCTAAAGAGTCTGAAATTCTGTTTTGAGCTCTTGGGATACGAAAAATCTCGAAGGTTGGGAAGCATACGAGCAATGTCTTGATTGTCTCTAATTCTGTTGCAAAATTCGGTTAAGCTCCAAAATCTTTCATCATCGCGATCAGGTCCTTGCAGTCAATCCCAAAGCACTGACATGACGAATGTTGAAGCATGTTGTCCATTGTCCATCGCAGTGCTTCTAATTTCGAGTGCAACGTGTTCTCTGTCCTCCTTAAGTTTCACATACCCATCAGTTGACACTTCCAAGATTATCCATCTACACCCAACCACATCCAATAAACTGAGCCGTGGAGGTCCATGATCCATCCATTTATACAAATATTTTCGAAATTTACGACCTGAAGTTCATTACTATTGTGCTCGTGTGGGATAGAGGATACCATCTCGTTTGCATTATGCCAAGCCTAACATTCACTTTATGCATATCAGACTAATTTCAAAGGATCTCTGTCGATCCCTCTGAATAATTTATCATTTTGAGCTTTCTATATATAGCAGATTATCCAGAGATAAGGATCCCTGTGTAACTCTGGTGCGATAATATTGTTCTTCCTCCAGACAAGATAATCCATATGAACGAAAATGATTTCTTTCAGGAAAGATATTAGGACTAGATGGTGTTGTCGAATGTGTCCAAACTTGCAAAACTTGAGGACATTCAAAGATGGCATGCGAAACTGTTTCCTCTGGTGCCCCCACATTCTGGACAATAATTATCACATCGGAGATTCCTATGATTCAAATTCTGGGTAACAGCCACATGACCATATAACAGTTGCCATGATCATGTAATTAGTTTATATTGAATATGTCTCATGATTTCATATACTAATAAGCTATGTCAAAAGTTGATCAGATTAATTACTAATGATAATTTTTGAGAGTAATCACATTATCATAGTTATGAGGTTTTGGTCTTTTGATACACCAGATTAACATCATAGCACTATACCAGCTCTTCGATGGATTTTGAACCATACCTATTTCATATCGTTTGCTGTTTTGTAGCAGTGCAAAAACTGCTAATTAAACCCAAAGGCAATAGCAATAGAGAACTTTCATAAGGGAAGCAGAAGATAACCTAATATAATAGGCTTCATGAGTTACTTAATTAATAGTTAATCCCATAACTAGAAGAACATCATTTATATTTAGTGACTTTAACGATCTTAAACCACTGGCTCATCGGATCACACGAGCCGTCTTCGCCGTTCACACACTTGCAGTTGGTCGCCACGATGTTATTGGCTCCATCGACGTCAAGACAAAGCGAGTTATTAGTTGACATCACAGCTAAGAGCATAGTAGAGGCTGAGATGGTTTGCCACTTCGACAAACTAGGGCTCGAGCAACTCGTCTCACTGAGCTTAACCGGTGCATTTGGTTCAGTGTTCGCTAAGCATAGAGACTTGTTTTGAAGTTTCAAGGTATTGTCAGTACTAGTGTAGTTCCAAGGTTGAGATTCATTACATCGACCGAGAGAGACCTTGGTTGGATCTAAGAAAGATTGTATCATGCAAAGTCCGGACAACGGGTGGAAAACAATATGGTCGATTTTGGGTTGAGGATCAGGTCCTGGTGAACCAAGTTAGTGAACCAAAGAAGGTTATATGTTAACTATGTAGGAAAAAAACATAACAAAAACAAATTATTGCATTTAACACCTAAATAAGTAATTATAAATACTGAAATCTGATTCCAAAATCATTTCTGAGAGTATGTTTATTGGAATGGGTTAGTGGGATTGCTTAGGACTTTTTAAAGCAAGAGTCCCAGAAAATAGTTAAGCACCATTGGTTAAAGTATTCAATTAAGCAATTCATTTTAACTGTTGCTTATATTTCGCGTACTTCACCGACACGTGACGCTTCACAATTGATTTATTATTTTTTTTTTTTTCAGACCACAAATTTTTTTTTAAGAAACCCATTTTAGGGTCTCTGCAATAAACATGCTGTAAAGCCTTTTATATGAAAAATATTTTATTCACTAAATATATATGTTTTTTTTACTAGTCGCTGTTTGAGATCTACTAGATAATTACAATATATGGTTGATTTAATTTGACGATTATTCCTATATAATTATGTATATTTAAGTGATTGTAACCTAGTAAATATTGACTTTCTGTCATCAGGTATCATGTCATGTATTCGAAACTGGAATCATTATTGTGAAAAAAAAATGTTTAAAAAATCGACTGATAAAAATGATATTGACCATCAAAAACATGTGGATTACCTTGAAGCTGGGACTGAAACAAAGACAATCTTTGCAAGAAACTGTTGTTTCGAACACTTATCCAATCCGAATCCAAGAGACCGTAATAGTCAATCATTCCGACCACACCCTCTCTGAGATAATAACTTCCAGCAAGTGCCCAAATCGACCAATCCACGTCATTTTCAGCCGCCCAACCTAATAGACATCCAAAATTTCGATTTTGGACAAGACTTCCACCTCTCACATCCATTCCAAACTCACTAAGAAACACCGGGAAGTCCCGGAGGTTGAAACCGCCTCCGTCGTCGAGGATTTTAAGAATCTCGCCGCATGCGTCGTTGGGGTTTTTGGAACTCCATATTGATGAATCTCAAAGACGAGTTTTCCGGAGATAGTTAGGGTAACAGGTCGTGATCGCACGAAAGAAAGGTCGGTGTCGTAGGTGAGGCCAGAAAGGATTACAAGTACGTTAGGGTTTGCTCCGTGAACTGCCTCGGCTCCTTGTTGCATGTATCTACATGCATGCATAATGAGACATTAAACAAAATAGAGCTATTCCATTACCATATATAGCAGATATAATTCTATATGTTCTGACCTATGAGTCAAAATCATTAAATTTGAGTTTTGGTAAATATAATATTTTAGAAAGTTATAAACGATCAATAGAATCATAATTAGTAATATAGTATTTTTGTAACTAAAAATCCGATATATTTAGTAACATATCAATATATGCACACTGATCACTAATGTATGTAATAACTTTGATATTTGTATGAAAAATACCAAAACTATATTTCTTTCTGTAACGAAAGAAATGTTTATAAAAAGAAATATATAACAAGCAACAGAACAATAAAATCAAGTACGAATAAGTTATACAAATATACGTATTAGCTATTGGTTTATTATGTAAATCTGGTATGATATAAACCAGTGTAGATAGTTTCGGTTTAGTTCGGTTTACTCTATTTTATGCTTGTATATAAGCTCACATGTAACTAACTTTTACATTTAATGTGAATGAGATATTTTGGTAATATGGTATCAGAGCAAGTATCTCGTTTTCTCTAACAACCTTCCGCTTCGAATCAACGTCTCTAATCATCACTCACCGGCACTTCTTCACCGGAATCTCACACCGGCGACGATCTCGGTTCCTCCTTCATCCACCTCCTCTCCGTCGACGTTTCATTCTCGTTGTTCTCGCCTTCAAATCAGCTCAAATCTCACGATTCTTCATCGTTCCGAGCCGATCTCCATGGGAAAACGCAAGTGCAAGTCGACGTATCGCCGCTCCACACCAGATTCAACAGAATCTGGTTCTCCGTCTTCTCCAAGACCTCCCGATCGGGCTTCCGCTCCTCCGATCATTTCCACTACTCAGACTCGAGCTGAGTTCAACAGATCTGCTTCGGTGACTTCCGATCGTCCGTTTGAGGTATCGATTTCTCCTGAGAACATTCACTCTCCGTATCATCTACATAGTTCGGATCTTCCTGGCCTAGTGCTAGCTTCTGAATTGTTAGATGGTAACAACTATGGAGTTTGGATTATGGCGATGACTACTAGCTTAGAAGCTAAGAACAAGCTAGGCTTTCTTGATGGATCTATTGTGAAACCACCTGAGACTGATCCCTATTATCGAATCTGGTGCCGTTGCAATAGTATGGTGAAATCCTGGTTGTTGAACAGTGTGACGAAACCGATCTATACGAGTATTCTGTACTTCAGGAATGCTTCTGACATCTGGAAGGACCTTCACACTCGTTTCCACAAATCCAATCTCCCTCGTCTCTACAAGCTTCGTCATCAGATTCATTCCTTTCGACAAGGCAGTCTTGATCTCTCATCGTATCACACCAAGACTCAATCGTTGTGGGAAGAACTTTCTAGCATTCAACCTCCTTCTCGCTCTGTGGAGGATCTTTTGGCTGAAAAGAGACAAATCGAGTCATTGATTTCCTTATGGGACTCAATGACAACTATGAGCATATCCGTAGCCGCATCTTAATGAAGAAAGTTCTTCCAACCATGTCTGAGGTGTTCAATCTCCTGGATCAGGAAGACAGTCAGAAATCCGTTAACAGTGATTTCAACTCTGCTGCCTTTCAGGTCTCTAACTCCTCCACTCCTGCATCAGTTACTACAGGGAGTTCCTCTTCCTTTCAGAAACGTGACAGACCTGTATGTACTTTCTGTGGTCGTGTTGGTCACATAGCTGATAGATGTTACAAACAACATGGCTATCCGGCTAGTTTCAAGTCTAAGAATAAGGGTGATCAGACTTCTCGTCCAGTTGTTGCTGCCGTTACTTCTGCAGACAATGGTTCTGGCATCACTGAAGAGAGTCTATCTCCAGATCAGATTCAGCAGTTGGTGGCCTTTCTGAGTAGCAAGCTACAGCCTCCCAGTGTCACACCCACACCTGAAGTTCACTCTGTCTCAGTATCTTCTGAACCTTCTCATTCCACAGCCATTTGCCCAATTTCCGGTACCTTTTACCCCTCTATTCTTTGTTCTTTTACCGGAGTTGATAGGCGTTATGTCTGTTCTGTTAATGATGTCTCTTTACCTCTCAACGCCTGGGTCATTGACTCAGGTGCTAGTAATCATGTCTCTCATGACAAGTCTGCCTTCACTAACTTTCGTTTGCTCCCTAACACCACTGTCACTCTCCCTAATGGAGTTCTTGTGAGCATTGTTGGAATAGGCACTATAAAACTGGGTAGATATTTGATTCTAGATGATGTTCTCTATATTCCCCAATTCAAGTTTAATCTTCTTAGTGTTAGCTGTTTGACCAAGAGTATGGGCTGTCGTGTCTGGTTTGATGCTAATTCTTGTGGTCTTCAGGATCTTACACGGGGCTTAACGATTGGGATGGGTAGAGAAGTCTCTAAGCTCTATTTCCTGGATATTGAGTCTCTTTCTTCCTCTCCAGGTATCACTAAACCCATTGTCCTATCCATTGTTTCTAGTTCTATTTGGCACAAACGTCTTGGCCATTTATCTTTTTCTAAACTTCAGAGTATGTACTCTTCTTTATCATTACCAAAAACAAAAGAACACAGTGATTCTCATTGTCATGTTTGTCATCTTTCTAAACAGAAACATCTCCCTTTTGTATCTCATCAAAATATAAGTGAAAAACCTTTTGATCTTTTACATATTGATACTTGGGGGCCTCTCTCTGTTTCTACTCATGATGGTTTTAAATATTTCTTGACAATAGTAGATGACTGTTCTAGAGCTACGTGGGTATATCTACTTAAACATAAGTCTGATGTCTTAACCATTTTTCCAAACTTTATAGAAATGGTAGAAAGACAATTTAGTGTCAAGGTTAAGAGGGTTAGATCCGACAATGCTCCTGAGCTTAACTTCACCTCTTTTTATCAATCTAAAGGCATTGTTCCCTTTCATTCTTGCCCTGAAACACCTCAGCAAAATTCTGTGGTTGAAAGAAAACATCAGCACATTCTCAATGTTGCTCGTTCCCTTCTCTTTCAATCACATATTCCTTTGCCTTACTGGGGTGACTGCATTCTTACCGCAGTTCATCTTATCAACCGCACCCCTACTCCTGTCTTACAAAACAAAACACCTTATGACATTCTCAAAAATAAATCTCCTGATTATGATCAACTAAAAGTCTTCGGGTGTCTTTGTTATGCTTCCACTTCCATCAAGAACAGACATAAATTTTCTCCCCGAGCTCGTGCTTGTGCCTTCTTGGGTTATCCCAATGGTGTTAAAGGTTACAAGTTTCTGGATATTGAATCCAATACCATTTTTGTCTCACGACATGTGGTTTTCCATGAAGAGCTCTTCCCTTTTGCACAACAGGATCTCACTTCTTCTGAAACAGCTTTATTTTCTGATCCTATTGTGCCACCTCCTATGCAAACATCTGTTCCTGATGAATCTACTTCTCTAGATTCATCGTCTGTAGAGATTCAGCCTTCTGCTAATCCTACTAATGTCCCTGAACCTTATGTTCAAACATCGCATAGGAAGGGTAAACAGCCTGCTTATCTCAAGGATTATTATTGTCATTCAGTAACTTCCTCAACCATTCATCAAATCTCTCAATTCCTGTCTTATGATAAAATTTCTCCTTCGTATCTTGCTTTTCTTGTTTCTATTGATAAAGAACTTGAACCCAAAACCTATACTGAGGCACAGAAACATCGGGTGTGGCGTGATGCTGCTACAGCTGAGATTGATGCTTTGGAAGGTACACATACTTGGGTTGTGTGTTCTTTGCCTCCTAACAAGAGAGCTATTGGTTGCAAATGGGTTTTTAAGATCAAGTATCACGCGGATGGAACAGTTGAGCGTTACAAGGCCCGCCTGGTTGCTAAGGGTTACACACAACAGGAAGGGATTGATTATACTGAAACTTTCTCCCCTGTAGCTAAACTTAACTCTGTTAAGCTTCTGCTCAGCCTTGCAGCTATTTTTGGTTGGTCACTTACTCAACTCGACATCTCCAATGCGTTTCTAAATGGTGAGTTAGATGAAGAAATATACATGAAGCTTCCACCAGGGTACTCATCTAAACAGGGGGACTTGCCTCCTAATGCAGTCTGCAAGCTTGAGAAATCCCTTTATGGTCTTAAGCAGGCTTCACGTCAATGGTTTCTCAAGTTTCAGTCAACTCTTCTTGGTTTGGGTTTCAATCATCTTCATTCGGATCACACTTGCTTTCTCAAACACACTGATGGGGCTTTCTTATGGGTCTTAGTTTACGTTGACGACATCATCATCGCCAGTAACAGTGACTCTGCTGTGACTCAACTAAAGGATCAACTACATTCTCACTTCAAGCTTCGTGATCTCGGACCTCTTAAATACTTTCTTGGTCTCGAGATTGCTCGAAGTTCTGCAGGTATCTCTGTTTCTCAACGAAAATATGCCCTTGACCTCCTTGATGAGACCGGTCTCTTGGGTTGTAAACCTTCATATGTTCCTCTAGATCCACATCTTAAGCTTTCAACTGAGCTCGGTGGTGACTTCGTTGATCCTAAACCCTATAGACGTCTCATTGGCCGTTTGATGTATCTACAAATCACTCGTCCAGATATAACATTTGCTGTCAACAAGCTTAGTCAGTTTGTTTCTGCACCACGTCGAGATCATCATCAAGCTCTTCTCAAAGTTCTTCATTACTTTAAGGGAACTGTGGGACAGGGTTTGTTCTTTTCTTCCTCGGCTGAGCTTCAATTGCAGGTCTTTGCAGACGCAGACTGGGGTTCTTGCCTTGATACACGATGCTCCACGTCAGGATATTGTATCTTCTTGGGGTCCTCTCTTATTAATTGGCGTTCCAAGAAGCAGGATACAGTATCCAAATCCACGGCTGAAGCAGAGTACCGTAGCATGGCAGCTGCTGTTGAGCTTTTTTGGCTTACCAACTTCTTGAAAGAACTTCACATTCCATTGACTAAATCCACTCTCATGTTTTGCGATAATATGGCTGCCATTCATATTGCGCATAACTCTGTTTATCACGAGCGCACTAAACAGATTGAGATGGACTGTCATCGAGTTCGAGAGAAGCTAGTTGCAGGTTTATTCAAGCTCTTTCATGTTCGCACTGATCATCAGGTTGCTGACATTTTCACTAAACCTTTGCATCCAGCTCCTTTTCGTCATTTGGTTAGCAAGATGAGCCTTGTGAATATTTTTGTCTCATCTTGAGGGGGACTATTAGCTATTGGTTTATTATGTAAATCTGGTATGATATAAACCAGTGTAGATAGCTTCGGTTTAGTTCGGTTTACTCTATTTTATGCTTGTATATAAGCTCACATGTAACTAACTTTTACATTTAATGTGAATGAGATATTTTGGTAATAATACGTACTTGAACCAATCGTCGATGTTTTGTCTAGGTCCTCTAAGTTCGTTTCTGAGGCTCATACCAACGACATTGGGGGCACCTTTGAAGATTGTGGCTATCTTAGTCAGACCAGCGATCCACGTGCCAGGTTCAAAGAAAGTATCGCCAAAGAAACCGTTGCTGTCGTTGTAGCGGCAGCACCACCCTGGCTTGGTCAAGTGGTTGTCTAATATTACCATCAAGTTGTGGTTTCCCAACGTAGTCACCACGCTCTGCAAAAAAAAAAAAAAAACACACACAAAAAAGTTTTTTTTTTTTTTTTCAAAGGAAAAAGTGATTTTTGTTTTTGTTTTTAAATGTCAATGTAATATGATGAAAACAACAGTTTGTAAAAGTAAAAATCGATATATATATATATATATATATATATATATATTTGTTTTTGTTTTTAAATGTCAATGTAATATGATGAAAACAACAGTTTGTAAAAGTAAAAATCAATATATATATCGATTTTTACTTTTACAAACTGTTGTTTTCATCATATTACATTGACATTACTATTAAATCATAATCCCTATTAGGATTCTACCCTTAGTTTTTGCACTTATTTATAATGAATTGTCATTTCATTTAATTTTTATTTTCGATATCTATACTATTAAAGCAGGATTTTATTTTGAAATTTTGTGATTATGCCCTTATATTTTAATTTAATTACAATTACATGTCACTCATTTATTTCTGCATAATAAATTAAATTAAAATTACCTAAAACATTCTAACTTAATAAAGTAATATTCCTAAATAAAATCTAACCAAATTATTTATTAGTCATAAAATCTCTTAGCAACATATTTATTCATCAATTAAACAAATGTATAACAATTCACATAAGAAATGAAGATATCACGTCTTCATAAAATAAATTTTCATTAGTTATAGTTACAATATATATACATCGATGTTATATATTTTTTATTTTTATTATATTTAATTTTACTCAATTGGCTGAACTATTTGAAACGGAAAAAATATTTACTATTTTCTATATTTCTATATTCATTGGATTATACTTTAATTTTATAAATAAAATAATGAAAAGAGCCACCTGCATATTAATTCTAAAATTAAATTTTAATAAAAATATTTAAAATATTTTGTAATATATATTGTTATATTCGTTTTATTATAAAAAAGTAAATTTATGATTTTAAAAAATACAAGACACACTGAACCAATCTTTAACATAATTTTCAATGTAAAATTATCTTTTTTTTTAAAGTTGATTGAGACGAGAGTGTAAAAACTATGAATTATCTTATTTGAATTTGACGTCAAAAAAATCCTATTTGAATTTAAGTTATTAAAATAAAATTAATATAAATAATTTTAAATAAATAAACTACTTATAATATATGTAATAATTTCACAAATTTTGTTCACTTAAGAAAATAAGCACAATAAATTAATACATATATTTTTTTTATAATTATATAAAATATAAAATAAATAAATTATAATTTTTGTTATATAAAATATTAAACTAAGAGTTAATCTCGCGCTTTTAAAGCGCGGATCAAAATCTAGTATATATATATATATATATATATATATATATATATATATATATATATATATATATATATATATATATAAGGGAGTTGTTAATTAGTTAAAAATGTCATTTAATACTGATATTTCTTTATATATAAACCTACATTTATGCGAATATTTATAATTTGAAACTTTCAGAAAAAAATACTTGCAAATAAGAAAAGAATAATTTTGTAGTTTTATGATCATAAGTTCTGTTAATTCTTCTATTTTATCCTAAAAGCATCCAAGAAGTATTATATCAATACCTTGTAAGCTTCAATGAGTGGAAGATCAATCATGGATGGATTCGTGGTTTGGAAACCAGAAATGTCATCACTAAGACCAAGACTCCAAAAAGATTGCCTCACAGTAACATTTGTTGCCAGTGTCTCATTTGTAGCCAAATCTAGTGGCCAAGTTAACCTAACACAATTGAAACCCATTGCCATTATCTTCTTGGCCACGGAATCAACCGGTTGCTTGCTCAGCCCTTCCGCTACCACAGGCTGCAGATGCGCTGGCCAATTCACACATGCCAGCTTCACTCTTTGTCCTTTTTCGTTGATGATCCAACGAGAGTTTGTAGAGAGAGGATAGGCCATGTTTTTGGTGATGGAGAACAATAAGTAGAAGATGAAGCAAAACATGCGTTCCAGTACTTCTGTTGTCTTCATGTTCAATTTATTTTGATATTCTTGCGTTTAAGAATTTCGTTTTGGGGGTTGGTGAATCATATGGAAGGGACATACATATATAGAAGGGAGGATTTACAAGTAATTTGTATTTTATCATGACATGAGTTCCGTTCACATATGTGTTCAATTCCTCTTTTTTCTATGTTAACGTTAAAAACACAATGTCATATTTGGTGATATTAAAAGTATATCTTGACGATATACCTATGCATGCATTTATTTCATGGTCAACATTCAAATAAGTAATATTATGATAGTAGTTTTTAGGGAAACTTGCAAAATAATTTAAATTTTTTTTTAGATATATGCAAAAATAATCTCGTTATAAGTTCAAAAAAAAAAAAAATCTCGTTTGCAAAATATAACAGAATGAAATAGAAAATAAAAGAAGTTTCTTTATAACAAGAAAACAGAGACTACACAATGGTTGTAACAGAAACTACAGTGATTGTTATACTTAACTTTGTGAAGATAAAATTATATAAAAAATTACGAATAATGTAGGCATCACGTCACATATATCTTTCAATTTGTTTTTGCTATCTTAACGTTAAAAACACAACCTCATATTTGGAAATGTTTTAAAATATATTCTGACTATATATATATTTATATGCATGCATTTTTCTGGTCAACAGTCAGATTAGAGATATCATAAGGCAGAATTGCCAAAAGTAATAACAGAATTATTCTAAATGCAACACTAATTTTTTATTTTTTGTTTCTCTCATTCAAATGTAAAATAACTTAAAAGGATATGCAAATTATTATTATTGTAAATTTATGATTAAAGAAAAATCATAATAAAATATATGATCTGACAAAATTTGAAATTATCAAAGAAATCAACATATTCCGTAGGCCTCACATGAAATATATCCATAGTTATATCTTATATTTTAACTTTTGAAATCAAACTAAAGCAACAAGGATTGATTAGGTTAATAATGAAATGAATACATATATATTGTGACCAAAGGCGAAACAACTCGGAAAAAACCAAAAAGAACAAAACGAATTGGGCAAATATCCGTTTTAGGGTTTGTATACTATTGTGTGAATGAATAACTTTAAAATCCTTTATATCCATATTTATAGTTGCCTCAAAAAAAAAAAACGATTTCCTTTTTCTTATATGAATACATACTTATCTATAATAAGTATGCTGGGATTTTACGGGTGCACATAAATTTAAGACACATCCAAATGTAACAATATCACATACCAAATAATATTGTTTTTTTATCAACACCAAATAGTAATTTTACTGATGCACAAAAATTTAAGACACATCCAGATGTAACAATATCTCATACCAAATAATACTGTTTTTTTATCAACACCAAATTTTTTTTTTTCAAAAGTGAATTTGACAATAAAGTCTTCTTAATTAGTGAAATTACTCCATCCGTTTCAAAAAGATTAACATTCTAGAAAAATATTTTTTTTTCAAAATAATCCATTTTTAACATTTTCATTGTATGGCTTAATCATAAATGACTTAATGATAAATTGTAGATTCAAAAAAAATAATTGTGTTTCTTAAAATTCTATTGGTTAGAAAATATAGGGAATTGTTATCTAAAACCCTTGTTTAAAAAACTCGGGCGAGTTGACGAGTAATTGTCCGTAAAAACACTGATCGGAAGCTCACCATTTCGATTTTATACTGATCGGCTAGATAACGCGGCGAGTTTTAACCGTTTTAGGCGTGGAATTCAATTAATCACGTTTGCAGGTTGTGTCTCCTGTTCTCTTCTATTTTCACTATAATGACGTTTCCTATTCAATAGAACCGTGATATTAGTTAGATCGAAGAAAATTGATTTAAAAACTATAAAGAAGGTCTCTGTATACAGGCGGCTTCAATTTTAGGGTTGCTATTCGCAGTAAAAGAAAAGAGATGAATGTTAAATTATGAATACTAAAACGCGCGGGAGAAAATATACCCTTATTTAATATGAGCTGTCAAAAAAGAACAAATACATGATGGCTTTCCAACCCATCACCCGAAGGCATTTAGCAAGAAAAGAAACCGCTAGACAAACGCGTCTCGCACGACTTTTATATATACAACTAGATAGTGACCCGTGCCCTGCACGAGGTGAAATATTAAATAAATATTTATGTTATATAATTGTAATTTTGTTTTAAAATTTTAGTATTGCATCACAGATTTTTTCATTTTATAAAAGGGAAAGTTTAATTATTTTGGCTTCTGATTAAAAAATATATTGCCCGTTCCTTGGGGGTAAATTAGAAAGGTTAATTTAGTTTGTGTAATAAGAAAATCACTTTTTTTTTGGTTTGACAGGAGTTGTTAGCCCTGATTGTTGGTAAACGAAGAGAAACAAATTGGTTACAAAAGTTATGGCTCACTTTTGTTGGGTCGAGAAAACTCCAATGTTTAATGATGGACCAAAATAAAACCAATCCAATGAGTATTGGATCAGGTTTTACAACCGTGATACAGAGAAAACAATCTGAATGCATATTTCTATTATTTTTTATCTTACTCGGTTGCACAAAAGAAATATCTTACTCGAAAAATCAAAAATAGCGATGAAAGGGGATTAGGTTTTCAACCACAAATTCAATCGGCTCTCCTTTCATCACTCATCACAAATTCACTCGGTTCGATTATTCTTTTGATCAACTCAATTCTCTGAACAAAAAATTTCTGCGTGTCTCCTTCATCAAAACTGTCAACACATCCCTTCGTATTTCTTCAGACACAAATCAGTAGATAGCAAACGAAGAGACGTCCTTACATATGTGGTATTGGTAACCATATCTCCACCTACATATATGACAACAAAACTCAGGTTAGTATCTTCCTTGTTACATAGTTCTGTAAATTAGTTAAAAACTTTTTATCTTTAACTTGAGATGACCATGCCGTTAGTTTTGGTCGCTTGTATCCGCATGGTAGTTTAGTGTTTAACGTTAATTGATCGAAACTTCCCCAGTTGAGAATTATTACATTATTAAAGCTTGAAAAACATTAAAATAAATACAAAGTGCTTATTTATTTGAAAACGGAAGTATAAATTCCCAATTCACTTGATCATCAAAAAGCAGTGAGTGAGATCATGAAAAACAAAAATATGTATTAATATAAGTCTAGTGTGTGTAATCTATCATTATAACACAAACGTAAGAAGCAAAGATCATTTAGACTTACTTCTTTTTGAAGACTTTTGTTTCTTGAACTTTAGGGTCGAGCAAAATCTATGAACATCTTTCATAGTTTGTCATTTATTTGAGCCACCTGATTACAGAAATAAAATAAGATGTATTACCTATACCAACTGTATACATAAATAGCAAATTGTTGCTTAAGGTTTATAAACTTCACCTTAAACTTCCACATGGATTTGTAAGGTTTCAGATCGGAGATGACATTGATAGCGGCCAAGTTTTGATAGGTTGCTGCGGATTTCTTTTATTCAGGTTGGGAAAAGATGATATTTCGTTAAGATTAAGCTTGGTATATATAGTAGGGATATAAAGGTTTAATGACAGAATATATATAAATTAATTAATGTGACACTAAATTGAAATCTTCTGTAACATTATTCAACTTATCAATTAATTAATGTTTTAATTTGGTAAGTTTATAATAAATGTGGTCCACCATAAAAATTTAATATAACACAAATTTAAAAGTTTACTTAAACACTACAATTTTATTTCCTAAAATGTAGCCTTGTTGACTGTTATATATTATAAAGTTATTTCTGATCGAAATACATTTATTAGTCATATTGCTTGGAAAGAAGTCATAATATGTATTTGTTCTTTAATACACCGCAAAATAGAGAAGATTTTCTTTATGCCAAATTAAATAGTTTACTTAAACACTAAAATTTGATTTCCTAAAATGTAGCCTTGTGTTTACTTCACTATTATGTATTATAAATTTATTTCTGATCGAAATACATTTATTAGCCATATTGCTTGGAAAGAAGTCATAATGTATATTTGTTCTTTAATACACCGCAAACTATAAAAGCTTTCCTATATGCCAAATAATTAAAGGAAACGTACTTGTAGATATTTTATTTACTTATTTTAAAACTAATAACAATGTCTTACTAAACAGATTGATAACTGGTTTTGGTAAAAATAAAAACACACAATTTCGATTTCTAATATGCTCTGGTTTGGTATGGTTGTTCAATATTTACGATCACGTGGGAACTTGAATAGTCTAACCATATGATTCATATCAGGTCTAAATATCACTTCTTAAAAAAACCATTTTTTTACACTAAAATATACTAAATTGAATATGTGTGTTGAACAAAAATGAACCTATATAATAACTATATAATGCATATAATCTGGGTGGTTTGAAAAATACAATTGATACAATAAAATACAGAAAAATTTGTCTCCCTATCATGGAGATAGTAGGTTCAAACCATTAACATTTATGTTTTAGAAAAAAATTTACAGTTGGTACTTACCAATGTTAATATGATGTAAGTTTCACGTAAGAAGTGTACACCGGTATGACAACTGATATTCATTTTGTTGTGCAGGATATATAATCGAAGACAAAAGTATAATCAAGTGTGAAAGAGACCACTCATAATATGATGGGGATCATACGATTTCATTATTTATGTGTGACCAACTTTATATTTTATATTAATGTTACCAATGGCATTATTTGTAATTACTCTAGATAACCATGGATAGATTCAAACATTAGCTGAGAAGAGCTATCCTGTTGACAACTCAGCAAATGTCAGATGTATAAATATATTACAAAACAAAAGTTATTTTTTAATATTGCTTCTCTATTAATAATAAGGGGATATTATATATAACTCACCTATTATGTAAAAAAACAAATACAGTTATATTTTGTGATATATTTTGTATGTATTTATAAATCTGTGAATCTAAATATCAATGATGCTTTATTCATAAACATGTATTATACATAAATTTTTCAATTATACGTACAAATGAAGTATTATACATATAAATATACAAAAAATTTCTCTCCTAGTACTCCTCGAGTTTTTTTTTCTGATTTTCTAATAAATCGTTAGGCCCAGGTTCACCGCACGCATAGCGCCTAGCGAGTTCTGAACAAGGCCTAAACCAAATGATGCATTGGTAATCAAAATTTTATGTTTTTTTTAATGTGTAAAAAAAGTAAAACATTCAACTTTTTGAAACATAGGGGAGTATACATCTACACTGATGAAGTAAACAATATAAAACAGATACGTTGGTTCGGAATGTTTATATTTTTTATGCAAAATTTTACATCTCGTTTGGATATCTGAAAGTTTTTGGTGCTATGTATTTTGTTGGTAAAAATGAAAAAAACGTGATGTCACTTTTGTGGTTGTGAGGTGAAAGATGTTGTCTGGTTAGTTAGAAGAACATGACAAACGTTTCTATACACCTACTAGTTTTTGCTCCACATGTTTTAATAGAAGGCCAATTCTTCTAAAATCTATGTCTAAGGCCCAGCCTTTTATCAACTCCCCATATGGACAAATTAAATCACAAGAAGGATCTAGTTATCCGCATAAGAACAATCAGGTTTGCGATAGTCGATCCATTGATGATGATCTCCTGTTTTCTTTGGGACAATAAGTCTTGTCTATACTGCAAGTTTAGTTTTGTAAATATATAGTGTCTATGGTGATAAGATATGCCTAAATGTTAGTTCGTGTATTATGGTGTCAACACATATTCAGTTTATCATTCTCTTGAACGAGTATACTACGACGGTCAAGGGACCAACAAAAACACAAATATTAATAATATTATTCATACATATATATGCTTATAGCATCTGCGCATAAAATGATTTTATTCATAACATCTTCAACTTCTAATGTTTTTGATCAAATAACTCGAACTGGTACAAGCTTCAGAGGTACTTTCTTGACGGTGGTAAGAGTACCAGCTTCTTCTGTGTCGATATCCTTATGTGTCATTCCATCAGGAACTCTCCAATCAAAGAAGTAAAGTAAGTTCAAGAGTCCTAACTCAACAGTAGCGATCCCCATGGGCATCCCAGGACACATCCTTCGACCAGACCCAAATGGTAAGAGCTCGTAATGTTGTCCTCTATAATCCACAGGACTATCAATAAACCTCTCAGGGTTAAACTCTTCGGGTTCTGTCCAGAGTTTAGGATCTCTTCCTATCGCATAAGTGTTGACCAGGATCCGTGTCTTGGGAAGAATATCATAGCCTTGAACTTTCATGTGTGACATTGTTTCCCTTGGGAGTATAAGAGGAGCTGCAGGATGTAATCTAAATGTTTCTTTTATTACCAGCTTCAAGTAAGGAACTTTATCGACATCTTCTTCAGTGATTGTCTCCTTATTGTTGCCAAGGCACTCTCTTATCTCGTCTTGAACTTTTTTCATCAGTTTAGGGTTTTTAGCAAGCTCCGTCATTGCCCATATCATGGTGATGGCCCCTGTGTCTATCCCTGCTAGAAAGATATTCTACCAAACAATAAAACTAAGTTAAAAGTTACAACTAAAACAATATCCATATGAATGTGGTTAAATAAGTAAGAGAGTTTTTGAATCCTGCATGCTGTCTACTTCTTATGAAGATTTATCTATCCTCTTTTACTATTATAGTTTATGCTTGTGATTAAAACAGATGAATAATTCTCTCTTGTTGCATCTAAAAAAAAATAGTTTTAATAATTAAGTGGTGTTCTGAAAAAAAAGTTAGAGAGTTCTTGATTTACCGCAAGAAAGCCCTTGATATGATCTACCGTGAGCTGCAAGGAATCATTTTTGCCTTGTTTATGAATCACATCCAACATTGCATCAATGATGTCTTCATGATCTTTAGTTCTTCCAGGACTCAAATGGTCATCAATGACATGCTGAAACAGAGTATCTAGCTTCAAGAAAACATCGTTGAGCCTCTTGTGTTGTCCAGAAAGCCAGTCAACAAGCCATCCAAGTCCAGCAACAGGGAAAAAATCAGAACAAGTGAAACTAGCTAGGGCAGTCTCTGCTTCAAACACAAGCTCTTCTATCTCTTCTTTATCAATAAACTTGCTCTTGTGGAAGTTCTGTCCTAAGGCAACCCTAAACAAGATACTCGCAGTTAACCAAAAAAGGGTTTTGCTCAAATCAACCGGAGTTTGATCCACGGCAGATTCCGACAGTTTCTTGACAAGAAAGTTACATTCTTCCTCTCTTATATGTCTAAAGGACTGAACCTTTTTAAGACAGAAAAGCTCACGGACAGCAAACTTGCGACGCACCTTCCACTCTTCACCGTATGGCGTGAAACCGACATCTTTAAAGTCCCGTGAGAGTAGCCTTGTCCCCACGAGCTTAGGCCTGCTGCAACAGTCTAGGTCGTGAGTTCTGAGAACTTCTTCAGCTGCTTCTTTAGATGTGACTACAACCACAGGTACAAACCCAAAGTGAATAAGCATCACTGGTCCGAATCTTTGGGCTAGACTTTGAAGTGACCTGTGAGGCAGTTCTCCGATTTGGTGTAAGTTTCCGATGACTGGGAACGTAGGAGGGGTTGGAGGGAGATTCCATTTGAATTGTTTAATCTTCTTAACGAGAAAGATTGATGTAAAGAAAGTAATGAAGCAAAGACAGAGCAAAGAGATCACCATTTTTTTGCTTTGTTTGGCTGTGGAGAACGTGAAAATGGTATACTCCAACAGAAAACTTGACACCTCGAACTCATCAGTTTTTATTGAGTATTTTAAAATTAAAATTAAAAATTAAAAAATGGAACGAAAATAGATACGGATTCTCATTGGAAAGTCCATCCACTTTTACACCTTCAATTTCAATAATCAATACATTTGTCAGTTTAAAATTGTGTATATTATTATTTTTTAAATTACATATTTAACAAAATTAAAAGAATAGTATTATTTTGTGGCTGAGAAACCCTTCCTAATACCAAAGCGCTGGAACATGGTTGGGTTTTTTTTCCATTAATAGTTCAACAGAACAACTTGTGGTCGTCCATACCGAGTATTACCACTGTTACATGGCGCCCAATGGTCTAGTGGCTAAGAGTAAGCCACTAGGAAATTGCCTTGTTTCAAAATCTTGATTGTTTTATTTCTCTTCCATGATATACTCACCGATTTAGTTTATACGTTGTTTAATCCTTTTTTTTTTACGAATTAAGTCAACTTATGAAAATCTAACTTTATAACTAGAAGTATGTAAAATACTTTGAGCTTATGTATAAAAGTTTTTTCTGTTAACGTAAATGCAAAACACAATTTTAACTACAAAATGCATCTTAGCAATTGAACTTATACTCTCACTTTGGTCAAAAAAAAAAACTTATACTCTCACCTGTCAAACAAACATTGTCATTCTAATTCTTTTTAGAGTATTGTTTTTATTTTAATCAAGGGATTTTAATATACTAACTTTAAACAAAGTTCCATTTTAACCATATATCTTTATTTTATTAATTACGGATTATTTATATATTAATACAAAGAACGTAAGAACATCCGCAACAAAGATTTTAACGAGGAATCTTTAGAAAAAAAATAATTAAATTATCAGTGTATCCCACCAAAAGCTAAGGATTCAATCTTTGAAATCTCTAAATAATCATTTTTAATGAATCTTTGCACTATTTACGGGTCTTAATGACACGTGGTAATCCGCAATTGGTTGATATATATATATATATATATATATATTAATTTATCTGAAAAATAAAAATAATTTAAAAATGAAAAACTAATAACTCCAATGAATATCACCATTGAAGATGCTCTAATATATATATATATATATAGAGCATCATTTAAGAGATATATATATACATATATATTACAGTAAAACAATTCTCATTGTAAAATAGAGAATACAAGACGAAAATAATGAATATTATAAATAAAACAGTTTGTACAGACAAATGATAAAATGAAAAATAACAATATTGTTATAGAAAACCATATATTGTTCTAATGATATAACTTTCATGATTAATCCTAGATATTATGAATGATTAGGTTTGAACCCAATCAAAAACAAAATTATTAATGTTTCATAGACGAAGATGAAATTATATATTTTTTATTTCATTAGAAAATTTAAAATAAAACTAATCATTATTACCATCAGACACGGTATACCAGTTGGTGTACGTGCAAGCGTTTATATTGTTGTACTCCTAGTTCGAAATATTATGGAAGAGAAATTTCTACTATATCTTTATATAAGAAAGAACAATTTCCTTTGTTTCGGAAATATTGAAGTGTAATACCTAAACACCTACTCAATTATTTAAGTGTAATACTAAAACACCTATTCTCTCTATTTCATAATGTTACATATTTTAGAAAAAAAAATGATTTAAAAAATACATTTTCTATATTTTAAGGTATATTTTTTTTTCAAATTATAATAATTAATTACAGTTTATAAAAAACTTAATTACACTTATTAGATTCTCATTGGTTTAAATTTATAAAAAAAATAATAATCACAAAACTATGCATTTATTATGTGTTTAATTAATATGTGTGAAAAAACTAAATCTATAACAAATTGAAAAATATTTTTTAAAAACAAATAAAAAAAATTTAATCGTAACTATTTTTGTAAGGAGATTAGTGGAACTTCAACTCAAATACTTCCAGATTAAAAATTTATAGTTAGTTAGACATATTACATGTATTTTGCTATTTTCTATAAAATCAAACTATAATAGAAATACAATTGATTATTTCTTCTGTTTCACTTTAATTGTTATTTTAGATTTTTGTACATAGATTAAGAAAACATTTTTAATTTTATATATTTTCAAAATAAAAATACCATTATCTATACACATAACCATATTTCAACTAATAAAAATAGAAAAGTATAAAATTAATAAATTATGCATCGAAATAATTAAACATTACTTATTTTAAAACGTAATATTTTTGAAACGAAGGGAGTATAATTTATGTTTAATAGCATTTTTAAAATTCAGAGTAAAAACAGAAAATGATAGTAAAAGTGGGAAAATGTTATTTTCTCTACAATAAAAAACATCTAAATAAATGCACCGACGCAATGTTTCAGCAAATGCAAAAATAATTATGATTTATTTTTGGGTTGATCTCCTAAGGTGAACCTTTAGGTTTACCATCCAACAAGATTACATTATCTCATATTTGATATTTTTTAAAATGAAACAAAATCTTATTAAGTTATATTATATTTTAAAAATAAAAAAGAAAAAAATGAATTAAAAAAATAATTATCAAAAAGAAAAATAACTCTTTAAAAAATTTTTTTTAACACTAAACCCTAAACCCTAAACTCTAATCCTAAACCTTAAAACTTCTGGGTAAATCATAAACATTTGGATAAATCTTATAGTGTTTTAAAAATTTAGTGTTTATGATTTATCCAATGGTCTAGGGTTTAGAAGTAGAGTTTAGGGTTTAGTATTTATAATTTTCTCAAGGGTTTAAGGTTTTAGGATTAGACTTTAGGGTTTAGTGTTTTAGTGTTAAAAAATAATTATTTTTATAAGAATTATCCAAAGATTTATGATTTATCCAGATGTTTAGGGTTTAAGATTAGAGTTTGAGGTTTAGTGTTATAATATTTTCTTAAAAAAATATTATTTTTGTTTTTATTAATTATTATTATCTTTTATTATTTATGTATTTTTATTTTTTAAAATATATTATAAAAGTTACTTTTTAAAAGATATCAAATATGAAATAATGTTAGGGAGTGAACCCAAGAATAACTCAATAATTATTGTGGAATTTACGTGACGTACACTCTTGTCTTTATCTAAAGAATTGGGCATTATGGAGGAAAAGTTACCGACGCAATGTTTTAGTATTTTTAAAAGGAGATATGATCTTCCAATATTATCATGCTGGTCCACATGTTTGATTGATTGAAACCTACCATTACCTTTGAAAACTCCATATCGAATACGTCATTATTTTATTTGGCTATGAAAAATAAGGATAACATCCGTAAACTATTCAGTTTTTCATTAATCATATTTGTTTTATCCAAGCATTTGTTATCCTGATTTTACTAAGCATTCACAAACAAAGAATAGGTTTAATTTAAACTACACAAATTTTCCGCACCATATTCTCTCACATAAACTCCATCCAAACATTTTCTTCCTCTTAAACTACTAAACTGAGAAATGAAATAGCGTTGCAAATTACAAAACAAACAGAGATTAATAACATAACAAGACTAAAACTAAACCAGGTAAAATTGAAATCTATAAAAAACGATATTGAGAAAATTCAAAACTATAATTTGTTCTAATTCATATTTTAGTTAACGATAATCGCTACTATTCGTTTAGAGAGAGTTTTGAAACGTGAGGCGATTTTAAACCAATAATTGGACAGCATCACATAGAACTACATCAAGTCCAAGAATTCTGCCAGGGAAACAAAATGCAAATGTATGTTAGTGTTTTGCTTTCATGCTTGTTTAGCTGAGCAATCATTGCTGGTCTCGAATGGTCGACGTAACAATGATTCTATTTCTATGTGTAAGAAAGATAAAAAAGTGATTCTAGATGTAATTTCCTGTTGAACAAAAAAAAAAGGTGTAATTTCCTCTAACAAAAATGATTTTCTATTATTTTACAAAATGATTTTTGTTAGTTTGTATTTGTACGTAAAGAGTACACAATTTTGAAGATAGGGAAAACTCAAACTGGGAGTTTAGTGTAATTTAAAATGATATTTGCAAGTTTAGCAAAATCAATCAAGAAAAAAAAGTAAAATATAATATTGGATGGACCATTTATGATTCTGAACTATGTTTACTTATTTTGTTCTAACTAAAATAGGTGTAACAATGTTAAACCAATTGTTGTTGAATATACGGATTTGAAATTATTCTTGAAAGTTACAAAGAATACTAGCATGTTATCCAAAATTAGCCAACATTATAATATTGGTTGGTATCTAGAAATTTGAACCATGAAATTAATGTGTGGACTAAAAACGTCAGTGAACCGGGCCAGACATTACCGAATTTCAGCCCAAAAAGTTAGATAACGTGCAGTGTTAGCCTAATTCTTGTGATCTTGTCAGCCTAATTCTTGTGATCTTGTCATAACTCATAACTGATTAACTCGACTTAAAAAATGATTTTAAGAACACGTTAGGTCTACAATCTTCATCAACATTATATCCATATAGATTGGTTATATGACGCAAAAGACTTTACAATAACTTTCTGTGTGCAACAAATCCGGTTCGAACACTAAACAAACAAATGAATCATGGAAGTAAAAAAGAACAAACAAAAGCTATAAAAGATACAATAGTGTTTTCAAAGCATCAGCCATCAGTAATGAAGAACTGGCACCAGCTCAAGCGGAACTTTCTTGGCGATGACGAATGCTCCAGCTTCTTCCATGTCAATGTCTTCAATTGTCATTCCATCGGGCAAACTCCAATCAAAGAAGTAAAGAACGTTAAGGAGGCCAAGCTCCACGATGGTCATCCCCGTGGCCATCCCTGGACAGATCCTACGACCTCCACCGAATGGTAACAACTCGTAATGTTGACCCTTATATTCCACAGGGCTATCGATAAACCTCTCGGGGATGAAATCATTGGGGTCTTGCCAACAGTTGGGATCACGCCCTATTGCGTAAGTGTTGATCTCAATCATTGTATTTTT